TCCATCCAGTGTGCGTGTCCTTGGCCAGTCAAATTACTATAAATAGTCTGAGGGCTACACACTCCAGTTTTAGTTTGTTTTTTTTTAAGTTGACAAAATTGTTGCGGTTTTGCACTCGTGGCTTCCATGACGTCGAATTCTGATTTCCTGGACAAGGGCTCCTTCAGGCATGCACTTTATCCTAGAAGCATCACAGCCTAACCAATGCCTGTTTCTTTTTTTTTTCTTTCACTTTGTATATTCGTCTGTAATATATACATAAGCACGATAATCATCAAAATCCTATTCATTAATTCCACTGCTAACCCCTCCTCTCCTCCCCCTTTCACCACGTTTTCTTTCTTCTTAAAATTCGCTGCACTTTCAGGAACCAATTAGAACCTGTGACATTTCCTCCACGAGCCTCACCTTTGACCCCGAGGGCAAAGAAAGAGGCCTGGGGCGAGAAACCGGCGGCTGCAGTTCCCACCCCAGCTGTGGCTATCACGGCAGAAAGGGCATATACTACAAGACGGTCTTTGCTCGCGTGTGTGCGTGTGTGCTGCTTGTCTGTGTGCGTTTGTGTGTCCTGGACTCACCTGGAGTGGCTTCAGTTCGGGCCAATTCTAGGATCTACTGATAGGCTGTTCACTGGCTAGCATTTTCGAAGGAGCATGCGTCGGGGCAGGGAAGCGACAGAGAAAGTGGAAAGAGCGAGCGAGGAGAGGAGGAAGGGGGAGAGGGAGGAAGAGGCGATATTAGAAGAAAGAGATAAGGGGGGGGGGAGAGCGAGGTCAAGGAGGGGTCGACAGCAGCAGAGGGCGGGCGCGAAGATTCAGATAGACCTACAGGCAGGCGCGTCCCCATGGGCCGGGCAGGGCAGCGAGCGAGCGTGTCCCTGGCCCTCGGGGACACACGGCAGGTGGCACCGCCGTCAGCGCCCGCAGGCTGCCGGCCGCCCCTCCATCCAGGTGTCATCCGAGCTTTGCCTCTCTCGCCTCGCCAGTCGCCAGAGTCTGGATTCCTGCAGCTTCCCTGTTGTGATCGAGACAGTGCCGGTCTGTGCTTCCGCTTTAAGCCGCAGAAATCGATGGCCGTTGACGGACTACTACACCCCCCCACCCCCACCCCCACTCTCCCTCTCTCTCTCTCTCTCTCTCTCTCTCTCTCTCTCTCTCTCTCTCTCTCTCTCTCTCTCTCTCTCTCTCTCTCTCTCTCTCCCACACACACACACACACACACCACACAACACACACACACACACACACACACCACACACACACACACACACACACACACACACACACAACACACGTCAACCTTCTGATGGCCGTCCCCAACACGCACACCACTCCCCCAACCGCTTCACACCCCGGCCCGTTCAGAAGCCCATTCATGAACAGTTCATAGGCTGCATTAAAGACCAAGTAACTGTGAATGTGTGCGTGCGCGTGAGTGCGTGCACGCGCGTGTGCACGTGTAGGTATATGCGCGTAAGTGCGTGTGCGCGCGAGTAAAGGGCATGTGAGCAAAACTGCGTGTACGTAAGTTCCGTGAACGCGAGTGAATGCATGTGCGTCGTGCGTAAGTGCGTGTGTGCGAGTATGTGCGTACGCGCGTTTACACGAGAAAGTGTGTACGTGCATCCGTCCGTCCGCGTGCAAGTGCGCGCCTCGCATCCCAGAGCATCCCTCCCTCCTCCCCCCCTCCCCCCCTTCCGAGCGACGGGCGCCTGATCCCCCGCCCCGCATTTCTTTCTCACATTCACTTCGTCACCAGCTGCCCCCACCACACCGCCCCCGTCTGGCAGTCCGGTCCATTCTGTTACCTCTACGTCACAATACTTGCGTTGATAATATGCTGCTCATCACTAACCACGAACACGAACGAATAACATCAATATAAAAAATACTTGCCGGAGTGCCACAACCCTCACACATGCAAGTGTTATAAGCGGAAGAAGCAAACACAATAACGATATAACGATAACGTACCATTCGTTGATAAAAACAACTAACGAAGGAGTAAATAATAAAAAAAAAACCTGACTCCACCCCCTCCTTCCCCCCCCCCCAGGCCCCCCCGCTCGGGATCACAGCTTCGCACCTCCGACCAGCTTAGCTTGCCCCCTCCCCCCCCCCCCTCCCCCCCCCCCCCTCCCCCCCCCCCGGCCCCTCAACCAAACACCCCCACTCCCCCCCTATCCACTCACCCGAGAGCTCATCCCCCACCCCCTTCCCTTCTCCCCTCCCCTGCCCGGCCCAACCGCCACCGCAGCCACTTGCCGTAGATGACCCCAACGAGAACGCGGTCCCCCTGCATGCTCATAAGTGACAGACTAATAAGTGACAGGCACACAACTGAAGCCTCGACAGATGCAGTCACGACGAGTAAGCGAGAAAAAAAAATCTTGAGCCGGAGATACGGTGCGGCGGCGGAGGGGGGGGGGGCAGGACAGAGGGGTAGGGGAGGCACAAACACAGAAAACGGGAAGTTCCGAACTCAATAGACCTATGCACAGCTTAAACACCCGGCATCCCTAGAATTAACTTCCGATGTCCAGCTCGAAGTCAAAGACCTCGACGCGAGAGAGAGAGAGAGAGAGAGAGAGAGAGAGAGAGAGAGAGAGAGAGAGAGAGAGAGAGAGAGAGAGAGAGAGAGAGAGAGAGAGAGAGAAGAGAAGAGAAGTAGCGGGGCCTGCGAGAAAATCGATAGCAGGCGGCTTGGCAGAGCGCGCGCGAGGAGGAGGTCAAACGGCAGCCGACGACCTCACTCAGGTACCCTTGGAGAGGCAGAGGGAAGGGGGGGTGGGGAGGGAGGAGGGGGGGAGGGGGATTAGAAGGAACAGCGGTTGGAGGAAGACAAGAGGTTGAGGTGGTTCGGAAGGCAACGAGGCACGAAGGCGGAGGCGGCAGAGAACCGAGACAGTCACGCCGCCCGCGCCAGCCAGCGTTGCTACCGATTCCTAATCGCACATTTAGAGTTACGAACAGATGTTAACATACACTGGTAATACACCTGCGCAAACAGCGCCACAACGAACAAAACACTTGGCGTCCCTCGCTCGCTCGCTCCGGCCACGCCCTACACCCTCCTCTCCCACGCCGCCGGATCTCCAAGCGGATAAACAATAAACATACAAAATCGCTCAATATCCGACTGCCAGAGCCCCGACCACACCTCTTACACGAGCAAGAACCCGCGTCTCCCACGTAACGGACAAACGTACCCACTCCACGCCCTTCCCTCCTCCCTCCCTCCCCCCTGCCCCTGCCCCCGCCCCTCACCCCTCCTTCGCTCTCCCTCCTCTCGCTGCCTCGCTCTCTCGCTCCCTCTCTCTCCTCTCCGCTGCGACCCTACCACGCCTTCGCCGCGTTCGGGAGGGCGCGGTTGGCAGGCGCCGTCGTCGCGGCTCGGCTTGTTCGGTTCTGATCACAAAGGATTATTAGCTACCGTTGGTGCCAGAGCAAATACATGCCGGGTGTAAAGGGAGAGAGAAATGAGGAGGGGAGAGGGAGAGAAAAGAGGAGGAGAGGGAAGGAGGGCAAGAGAAAAGAGGGGGAGGGGGAGAGGGAGAGAAAAGAGGGGAGAGGGGAGAGGGAGAGAAAGAGGGGGAGGGAGAGAGAGGAGAGGAGGAGGAAGAAGAGGAAAGGAGGGGGAAGGGAGGAGAGAAAGAGAAGAGAGGGGAGGGAGGGGGAGAAAGAGAGAAAGGGAAGGAAGGAGGGAGGGAGGGATAGAAGAGGGGGTAGGGAGGGAGGGATAGAGGAGGGGGAGGGAGGAGAGGAGAGGGAGGAGGGAGGAGAGGAGAGAGAGAATGGCAGCAAGGAGGTCGCCCTAGATAAAAATAAATCCGAGTAAGATGGCGAGTGTGACTGACGCCACGGCGAAACGAACAGAAGAAAGAGAACAAGAGACAAACCCGAATGAATTTGGAACAGAGAAAGAGAGAGAAGTCGCTGAGGCGATCTAAACGCAATATCTGAAACGACATAATAAAGAGATAAAAACCGATAATCGAGATAATTAATAATCCCCCCCCCACCCCCCATCCCCAAGACCTGCTTACTCATCAGCTATTTCACCTTTCGACTTTAAAAGGCAGCGTCGAGGCCAGCTCAAACCAGCTCCCACAGGCTCGGGTGGTGACGCAACCTCGATCCTTGCATCACGACACGAATCTCGCCATCGGGTCTAAATTATTCCAAAATCCTCCTAGAGTAATTATGGACAAGAATTCCGCTTAGAGGAGTGAACGACGCCGAATTACGCTTAAATATCGGCTCGAATAACGAGACAAGAGGCCCGAGAGAGAAGGCGAACGGCGGCCAAAAAAAAAAAAAAAAAAAAGAACCACAGAAGTGAAATCGAGAAATCAGTCACGTGGTCAGTGGCCTCGGGGCCGCTCACGACTCGGCCCGAGACGTCTTCGACCGAGGCAGCCGCTGACTTTCAAACGGAAAAAATTGCTTTTATAAAGTTTCCACGGCTATTGTTTTGATTTTTTTTTTAAAAGAATCCTTTCAGATCTCTACTCATACGCTCTTTCGTTTGTAATAATAATAAGACATAGAGAGAACATTCACATCATGGTTGCACTTCACATCAACTGCATGTTTCCCCCCTTCACTTCACCCTGTCTACGTAGTCATCTTCGAAGACATCTTGGAGCGAAGAGGAAGCAGCCCAGGCGCCGTGCCGAGCAGCTGCCAAACCTTAAACAGCTTAAAACAGTAAAATTCGACAGATAAAATAGATATTATCAAACAAATGGACATACGGCTAATCAGACTTAGACTCTCCATTTGAGAATAGATTATAATTAATCAAATGAAGCCTAATTCGAGAGCGTGAGATTTCTAAAAGTAGACTGAACCAGTGAATCTTTTTAAGAGCACAATCTCTCTCAATATTAATCATACAAAAAACAACAGATTTCGTGCCTTTGAAACACGAGAGGAACTCAGAACTGACTACAATTGGCTTAAAAGAGGCCAAACCTGCCTGGCGCAACACATATCACAGAGGAAGGAGAGGGAAGCCATTAGCGACGGATTTGCCTCGTCTTCTCCACGACGAATACTTTACCTTAAAATTCAAATGCTGTTATCAAATCTGGGGTGTAATAATTAAAAAGAGTGGTGAGTTGACTAAATCCTATTGCCAAAAAAATAGGTACGATCAACTCTTTAAAACGAGTCAGCAAGCGGGGAAACAAAAAATCTTGGAGCTGCCTCCCCCTGCGTCCTAATCCCGCGCTGTCTGGCGAGCGAATGACGCCGCCGGGCGACGGGGCTCACACCGATGACGTCATGCACGGCTTCCCGACGCTTCGCCAACCCACCGCTCTTCGCTCATTCTCTTTCCCATTCGTTCAAAACACGATCATATGTACTTGTCCCAAAGTCCTATTACAATAAAGAAGAAAATGTTATAATGTGAAAGATTTGCCCTGATGACGTCACGTTAAGGTTCCCGACCGCTGGGAAAACGGTTTTCTTTCGTTCAAATCTTTAAATATTCGTTCAAGCATATCCACTACGTTTCATCCTACTCGAGATGTTAATCAATATGAAATTAGACTCATTTATATGCTACGATGACCCCGCGACTTGAGGCTAGCCCGTTCTCTTTTCCATCGAGTTGCCATTTGCGTAGAAACTAA